AACAACAAATGGAACTAAATAAATAAACATTAAAAAATAGTAATAATAAGACATTGCTGGGAGCCAGCAGGTGATGCAGCAGTTACATCGCTGGACTCCCACGTAGTCGACCGCGGTTCGTGTCCCGGACCCGGTGGCTTAAAACTCACGCCGGGCGCGTGTGCGTACGTGCCCAAGATCCCGGGAGGAGAATGGAGGAGAAGGGATTGCGGCGTGACCATCCCCCCTGGGGGGTGATTTCTCGCTTTCTGTCTCTATGTCTCTCTCTGTCTGTCTGGCGAGCGCACGCGCCCTATAGTGAGAAAAAAAAAAAAAAGCATTGCTGTTATGGTTAAAACTTCAGAGGATTTTAATTATAATGAATTTCTGCTTCTAAGTACCTAGTTTTCTCTATAATGTTTTTTTCTGTTCTCAGCCTTATTCCTCTGGTTCCAATCTTTTTTTTTTTTTCTCACTATAGGGCGCGTGCGCTCGCCAGACAGACAGAGAGAGACATAGAGACAGAAAGCGAGAAATCACCCCCCAGGGGGGATGGTCACGCCGCAATCCCTTCTCCTCCATTCTCCTCCCGGGATCTTGGGCACGTACGCACACGCGCCCGGCGTGAGTTTTAAGCCACCGGGTCCGGGACACGAACCGCGGTCGACTACGTGGGAGTCCAGCGACATAGCCATTACGCTAACTGCTGGTTCCCTCTGGTTCCAATCTTAAAGGGCAATTTTTAAAAACTGAGTTTAAGAAGCAGGAACATAAGAGACCTAAAAATTGGCCCTCAGCTATTTAGATACAGTTTTGGTTGCAATGAAAACTCAGGCCCTGGCAAGGTTGTCACCTCAGCTGAGCGCTAACGGAGAACTTTACAGATGTGGTCATCATGGTTTTCCATTTCCCCCTAAAGCCAGCTCAATTTTTCCTCTTTTTGTTGTTAATAATGTATAAAAGTTGATCTGGATTTGACACCTCAGAGTGAAACTAGCAGGCCAGCAGTGAGAAATCAGCTACCTTTCTGTGGCCAAAGGGCCATGTGAGGTCCTACTAAGCTCACATCTTGACCCCACCAATGAAATCATGAAAAACACCCCCAACTGTCACAAGCACTTTGGGAAGGTCTGACTCTATTTCCCTAAGTATTGTTCTTTTTCTTTTTTCTGGAGAGGTTTTTGCTATAGGGCACGTGCGCTCGCCAGATAGACAGAGAGAGAGAGAGAGAGAAAGTGAGAAATTACCCCCCAGGGGGGATGGCCACGCCGCAATCCCTTCTCCTCCATTCTCCTCTTGGGATCTTGGGCATGCAAGCACGTGTGCCCGGCATGAGTTTTAAGCCACCAGGTCTGGGATGTGAACCACAGTCGACTACATGGGAGTCCAGCGACATAGCCATTACGCTAACTGCTGGTCCCCCTAAGTATTGTTCTAAGTGAACTTAGCTTTAAATAATCCACCAAGCCAGCTGGTTAGGGTGGCTGGATCCCTCATGGCTGACTGCTCAGTGCAATACTGAGCTCAGTGGCCTGAGAAACGCACTGTACACATGTGGGTGTGTGCATAAAATCCTTGGGACCAGCAGATGGCATAATGGCTACATCACTGGACTCCCACATAGTTGACAGTAGTTCGTGTCCTAGACTCGGCAGGTTAAACTCATGTCGGGCGTGTGTGTGTGCGTGCCCAAGATCCCAAGAGGAGAATGGAGGTGAAGGGATTGTGGCATGGCCATCCCCACTGGGGAGTAATTTCTCACTTTCTGTCTCTGTCTTTCTGGGAGCGTACGTGCCCTATAGCAAGAAAACTTCTCAAAAAATGTTTAAAAAATCCTGAAAAGAGAAATATAGGAGCATTTACAGCATAACCATCTCCCATGGGGGGGGTACTTGCTCACTTTCTCTTTCTGTTTCCCTCTGGTGAGTGCATGTAATCCTCTGGCAAAATTAAAATAATAATAATAATCCACCACTGTACTAGATAACTTGTCATTTATTTTCAACTTTTTTTTTTTGAGAGAGAGATTTTTGCTATAGAGTACATGCACTTGCTATAGAGACAGAGAGACAGAAAATGAGAAAACACGTCGGGGGTGGGGGATGGCCATGTCACAACCCATTCTCCACTCAGGATTTTGGGTACACACGTTCACACACCCGGTTTTGAGTTTTAAAGCCGCTGGGTCTAGGACTGGAACCACAGTCAGCCATGTGGTAGTCCAGCACCTTAACCATGACACCACTTCCTGGCCCCTAGTTTCAACTTTTCTATTCATGTTTTTTAATAATTTTTATTGGGAACCAGCAGTTAGCGTAATGGCTATGTCGCTGGACTCCCACGTAGTCGACCGCGGTTCGTGTCCTGGGCCCGGGGGGTT